TTCGGTGTTTTAATATATATATATATATATATATATATATATATATATATATATATATATATATATATATATATAAATATAAATATATATATATAAATATATAAATATAAATATATATATATATATATATATATATATATATATATATATATATATATATATATATATTTAAGCACGGTGGAGAGCAGCTCACCAAGGTGATGCGAGAAATTGTTTGTAGAATTTGGTCTGAGGAGCAAATGCCAGAAGAATGGAGCTTAGGCTTAATTTGCCCGTTACACAAAAAGGGAAACCAACTGGAATGCAATAATTACCGCGGAATAACTCTCCTAAATACAGCATACAAGATATTATCAAATATTTTGCACGAGAGATTAAAGCCTTATACTGAAATGTTTCTAGGGGAATATCAGGCAGGATTCAGGCCTGGACGTTCAACCATTAACCAGATCTTTACACTACGACAGATCCTCGAAAAAGCGCAAGAGTTTAACATAGATATGTATCATATTTTTGTCGATTTTAAAGCGGCATATGACAGTGTCTTAAGACCAAGTCTTTACAATGCTTTGAATGAGTTAGGAATTCCAAAAAAACTCATATGTTTGATAAAAGTGACAATGGCGAAGATGCTATCAGCAGTAAAAATTCAAAACGACTCGTCAACCCCATTTCAAATACATAGGGGGTTAAGGCAGGGAGATGCGCTGGCGTGTCAGCTTTTTAATGTCGCCTAAGAAAAAGTTGTACGAGACGCTAATTTAGATAGCAGGGGAACAATATTTAATAGATCAGTCCAAATTCTAGCATATGCAGACGACGTGGACATTATAACAAGAACTAGGGCGAGAACTGCGGAAATCCTAACCGAGCTAGTAGCAGCAGAAGAACGAATGGGGTTACATATAAATCAAAATAAAACCAAATTCATGGCGGCTAACGCAAACACAAGAGCTGGAAATGTTGACACAAATTTAATCATCAATGACCAAACTTTCGAAGCAGTCAATGAGTTCATATATCTAGGGACATCGGTTAACCCCAATAATAATACATCTGAGGAAATAAAAAGGCGAATAATAATTGCAAACAGGTGTTATTATGGTCTATCAAAGTACCTAGCTAACAAACGTCTATCTCAAAAAACTCGTATAAGGCTGTATAGAACACTGATAGTCCCCGTTCTCACATACGGATCAGAGGCATGGACGCTAACGAAAACAGATGAATCCGCTCTATCCATTTTTGAAAGAAAGGTGCTACGCAAGATATTTGGAGCGGTCTGTGAGAACGGAATATGGAGGCGTAGATATAACTTCGAACTGCAGAATATCTACAAGCATACGTTTGGTGGTAAAGATATTACCACTATAATTAAGCGAAACCGCCTGCAGTGGGCAGGACATGTAGCCCGGGCCCCTGAATCAAACATGATAAAAAAGATTCTAACAGCGCAACCTGTGGGAATGAGACGACGGGGTAGACCAAAGCTGAGGTGGATGGATGGGGTAACACAAGATGCGGAGAAGATCGGAGTCGGCAACTGGAAAATTCAAGCAAGGGACAGAACAGAATGGCGTAGAAAGCCTGAGAAGGTCGAGGCCCTCTAAAGGCTGTAGCACCAAGATGATGATGATGATGATGATGATATATATATATATATATATATATATATATATATATATATATATATATATATATATATATATATATATGTAAATACTTTTTTCTTTTTGGGTGTGGTAGTCAATAAAAAATAGAGCTTTGCTAAGGCGTACTATTTATTCTGAAATCCGAGCTTTCGGTGGTTATTTGCCACCTTTATCAAGGTCTACAATGAAAATTACTGTGTTATAACATTAGGCTGATGTAATATAAAAGTTATAAAAACTTACCAGAAAGTAAGATTCATAGCATATAAAACACAACGTTAAATAACATAATGTGATCTGAATTATTGAAGGCATTAAAAATTTTAAAAACTTTAAAATACTTAAAAATTAAAGAACATGTTACAAAGTTTAAAAAGTAAAAAATAAGACGACATGTTTGACAAAAAACAGTCGTCTTCGCAGGTTTGAATTCAGTCACATCTCACGAACAGAAAGAGGTAGTAGGAGGAACTATTGTTGTTTAAATAGTTCGATGTAACTACAAAAAACAAACTTTCAAACTGATGTCTAACAAAATGCCGTTTGTGATTTTAAGTACTACCAACCATGTTACCAACTTAGAATTGAGAGGGAAATTTAAAAAAAGGTTTTATTATGTCAAAAAATAAAAAGAAAATAGTATTTAGTAAGTAGGTTTGAAAAAACAAACAACCAAAACAAAATGAACATCTGAATAATAACTGAAGTTAATCATGATAATTATAGCAATTAATAATGGAATTTACGAAGCATGAAGCACTCTGAGATACAGAAAACCCTAGTCAAAAGTCAAAATAAAATTGTAAATTTTGCTAAGATTCTGGATCTCAGATCTTTTATTCAGATTGTTGTTATCACTCCTGCTGATATGTACCATTTCTAAGAATGTTCTCTTAAATTTATTTTTCTCTCTGGCTAATATTTTAACATTGTTGAAATCTATCTATGGTCTAGATCGATAGTGTGTTCTGCCAAAGCACAAGTGGGTTTATTTAGTCTACAGTCACTCTTATGAGAAATGATACGACTAGACAGATTTCTTCCAGTTTCACCAATGTACGTGGATGGACATTCAGTACATTGAATGCAATAAACAACATCTCTTGACTCTAAAGTAGTTAGGGGTTGTTTTATTTTGCTATATAGCTGACGTATGGTTTTGATGTTCTTGTTAGCTATTTTGATGTTCTTAAATTCTTTGAAAATTTTAGTAAGTTCTACGGTTAGTTTTGGAATATACGGAAGGGCATAAAAATACACACTTGTTTGAGAAGAATTGTTTTGTGCTGAGGGCACTGATTGAGAATTAGTGTATTTTTATGCCCTTCCGTATATTCCAAAACTAACCGTAGAACTTACTAAAATTTTCAAAGAATTTAAGAACATCAAAATAGCTAACAAGAACATCAAAACCATACGTCAGCTATATAGCAAAATAAAACAACCCCTAACTACTTTAGAGTCAAGAGATGTTGTTTATTGCATTCAATGTACTGAATGTCCATCCACGTACATTGGTGAAACTGGAAGAAATCTGTCTAGTCGTATCATTTCTCATAAGAGTGACTGTAGACTAAATAAACCCACTTGTGCTTTGGCAGAACACACTATCGATCTAGACCATAAGATAGATTTCAACAATGTTAAAATATTAGCCAGAGAGAAAAATAAATTTAAGAGAACATTCTTAGAAATGGTACATATCAGCAGGAGTGATAACAACAATCTGAATAAAAGATCTGAGATCCAGAATCTTAGCAAAATTTACAATTTTATTTTGACTTTTGACTAGGGTTTTCTGTATCTCAGAGTGCTTCATGCTTCGTAAATTCCATTATTAATTGCTATAATTATCATGATTAACTTCAGTTATTATTCAGATGTTCATTTTGTTTTGGTTGTTTGTTTTTTCAAACCTACTTACTAAATACTATTTTCTTTTTATTTTTTGACATAATAAAACCTTTTTTTAAATTTCCCTCTCAATTCTAAGTTGGTAACATGATTGGTAGTACTTAAAATCACAAACGGCATTTTGTTAGACATCAGTTTGAAAGTTTGTTTTTTGTAGTTACATCGAACTATTTAAACAACAATAGTTCCTCCTACTACCTCTTTCTGTTCGTGAGATGTGACTGAATTCAAACCTGCGAAGACGACTGTTTTTTGTCAAACATGTCGTCTTATTTTTTACTTTTTAAACTTTGTAACATGTTCTTTAATTTTTAAGTATTTTAAAGTTTTTAAAATTTTTAATGCCTTCAATAATTCAGATCACATTATGTTATTTAACGTTGTGTTTTATATGCTATGAATCTTACTTTCTGGTAAGTTTTTATAACTTTTATATTACATCAGCCTAATGTTATAACACAGTAATTTTCATTGTAGACCTTGATAAAGGTGGCAAATAACCACCGAAAGCTCGGATTTCAGAATAAATAGTACGCCTTAGCAAAGCTCTATTTTTTATTGACTACCACACCCAAAAAGAAAAAAGTATTTACATATTTTTTCCAAACTAGTCAAAAAATTTTGGACTACCTTGTCTATATATATATATATATATATATATATATATATATATATATATATATATATATATATATATATATATATATATATATATATATATATATATATATATATGGGGTATATATATAATGCTACAACTTACTGATCGTAAATCCAAATTCCGGAGTTGCAACTAGCTGAAGTATTATATTAGGGCGACAACAGGAAGTAGTAGTAAGAAGACCATTTGATAATCATCTGCTTTTCTTCTTCCTTGCTGTCACAATAGTATGCAGTCCTAAGTTTTCTTATCTAGAATATTTCTAGGAAATTGCTGTATTTTGTGGTATTTTCTATGTGTTTTGTGTTCCCGCGAAATCTAACAATGTTCACTGCATTTTCGAGAAAGCGTTATACACACTTGGCTTAGCGACTTAAGACCAACTGCGCTTAATTTTTGGGCTAGACACCATTTACGCACGATTTTACCTAAGAGTCCTACATAATGGCTTCAGTATTTAAAAACCAACAAGCTTATATGGCACTTTAAGACGAATAATTTTGTAGACCAGAGGTACAGTCTGTTCCATAAGATTCAAACCAATATCTATGAAAACGAAAAATGACTAAAATGAGTTTACATTGTTGCTTACAACACGAAGTTTAAAATTACTACAATACTAGTGTGCATCGACACTTTTTTCATGAAACGGGGTTAAACATGCAATTGGCGCCGGAATAATCCGAAAGAATCTCTCCGGCAAAAATGTCAGATATATTATTATTACTACAGGGTGAAAATAAATTACTTTAACTGTTTTTTTTATTTTTTAGGTAATAAATTATGCGTTTTCCACACTTCTTGCAGATGATTATATTGTAGAAGTGAACGACACTAACAGGCAACAAATAATTAGGGAGAGATTAAACAAAGGTATTATTTTTCGTATTATAATAAAACATACCAAAACTTTTGTAACAGGACTTACTTTTGTTTCTCCCGTTTGAATTTTTACGTCAGTATATTTTTATTATTTTAACTTTTTTTAACTTTTGTTACACATTTACTCCAGTCGTCAGAGAGTTAACTCCTAAAAATCATACGAACAAGCTGAATTTTGCAGAGAATATTAATTTTGGGACCCCAAAAAAGTTGCATAAAAGATTACCACTTTTACCCCCGGGCTTCCTCTAAAACCACCCATGCAGGGGGGTAAAAACGCAAAAAAGTCGATTTATCAAGAAATTGTACATTGTAGAAAAAAATGTTTCAAATAAAAAATGTAGCTGAGATAATTTTAAACAAAAATGTTTATAAGCATTTTTTATGTAGAATGAACCGTTCTATTAGAAACAACGCTTGAAGCGACAGTCGATTTTGCATGTCGGATACGCGAATGAAATCAATGTTCAGTAAAATTTCTATCGGCTGGGCGGTAAAAATTCGATATCTTTTAATCCAAATGTGCTATCGACAAAATTCAAGATGTGAGGTTCAGTGGCGTTTTCCTCTTTGACGACTGGAGTAATTTAACTTCCATGCCATTAGTTTTCTTCATAGTGCCATCACATAATTTAATTGCACACAGTGCAATCACATCGGATTTAAAGATACATAAATTGTGAATTTATGTGCTATCTTTACATTTGCACTAAACTTTAGTTCACACGGTTAAAAGTCGTTCTTTTGGTGAATTTATACATGATGTGACATGAAACACCCCATAAAAATTAGTAACATCGTTTATTATAATCAACAGTATTCAATAAGTCTCTAGTCTGACATATATGACTTCGCTAATAAAAGTCATCCAAATCATTTATTTGAATACTCCTTCAATGCATTGATTTGACAGGTGTCGTGCAAAACATTAAAAAGCACTACAGTATTGTTCTAATCTATTCTAAATTGAAGTCTCGTAAGACGGTAGCAGGATATACTGTCATTTCCCATGAATATTTTTCAATAAGAACGCATTATTCAAAGTATGTAGGGCAGTTGTTCACAGTTGGGTATGGATAAGAATATCTCGACAATTAGAAGCGTTGTTTTTACCTGTTTCAGCTTAATAAAAAAGATTTTTGCATCGTTAGGTAACAATGGATGAATCGTAGATCCATAACTTCCTTATAAGCTCAAATGGGTTGTCAGCTGATTGGGCAGCCGATATTTAAAGCCGGCCGAAGTGATCATCTGATAGCGCAGCAGAGATATTTGTCTAAAATTGTGACTCAGTTTGTTCATATAAATTGAACATTTTGCATTTGAAGTGAATCAGTGCTATATTTATACTTAACCCGTGTCAGGTCTATGCCCGTACCTCAATATTTTGTAACGAATAATATCACCAGTTATATTACCAATAAACGTATCCTTTCAACGATATTTTAATTCTATTTTAAATTTAAAACAGAATAAATTAAAGAAGTTCTAACATCACACTTCCCTCAGATGTCTCCATGTCCTAGTACCAACATCACCTCAACAATTATTAAGCTTTCGTACGTTAGGATGCTACAAAAAGTTTTTTTTTTTCAAGAATAAGTCATCGATTACGATGAGGATCGAAGAATTATCACTAGCCTTCATAAGGTGATTCTATTTGTGGTTCCTTTATGAAAGCCGTCATATCTGACAGAGTTTAACTGTTAACATTATATTGATTTTTTTTATAATTTAAATTAACATGTCTTTTTCTATAGTTCCCAGCTACGAGAATCTTATCCACGAACTAAGCCAGTATAGAAGCAGCTTTCCAGATATAATCGAGCCTCTTCTGAGTAACATTAGTGAGTATTTGTATGGTTTCAAACTGTACCTAAGCGTATTGAAAATGCAAGATGAAAAACAGAAGCAATCCAATGCTATGGTGTCTACCAATGATTTGATTTCTTTGGTGCGGTTTCCATCCATAAATCAAAACTCTGAGTACGACATTATTAAGACAAACAAGTCTGTTAAATTTTTCCTTGACGATACTGAAGAATCTCATGCTCAGGAACAAGAAAACTTTAGGTAAGTATTATTTAATTAGTCATTTAGTATTTATTGATCACAAAAAGACATGATATAATAAGGTGCATCATGAGGTTTTTTGTGTTAAGCATAAAATCAGGAAGGATCTAAAAAATAAATTTGCTTTATAAAAATTAATGGGAAATCGCAGTAGTTGGCTGTATACAATCGTTTAAAAAATTTGCCTTAGTGTAGAAGAGGCAAGTTTAAGAGAGACTGATATATTTAACGTTAGAGTAAAACTGAATCGTGTTTTAAACCTAGATATACTTTTATTAACATTAAGGGCCAACTGTTCGAATGCTAATCAAAACTTGATTGTAATCAAATATTTAATTACAATCAAATACGTCACAGTAGCTGTCAAAATTATTAAAAATTGCTTAATATTATTATTTATTTGTAAATAAAAACATGAAGTTATTATCAGCAAGAGTTTAATTATGGTTTATTTTAAATTAAAACATAAAATAATAAAATTGAATAAAAGAAATTATAAGTCATTGAATAAATCAGTCAACATAACCTCTGTAACAAATGTGACGTATTTTATTTTAATTAAATTTTTGATTAGAATCAAGTATTTATTAGCGTTCGAACAATCGGCCCATCACACTATAAGCAAAATCGCAAAAAGAATCCTTGATGTTTAGTGATTGCTGATAGTGTAATGTTTGCAGGAAATTTTAAGAGAGAATTTAACAGAAATCAAACATTTATTGAGTAATTGCCTTATTATATATCTATTATTGATTTTTTTACTTGTTTTGACTAATACCTAATCTATAATGACTGATTTGCTCCAGTCTAGTGTACTACTTTTGTATTTACTTGTGTTCATAAAAGCTGCTAAAGATATCGTTAAGATTAAAGTCCAATAATCTTTTTTTGTTATGCATTTCTTCTTCTTTTTCGTTCAATTATATCAGTACACTCTTCTTACTCACCCATCTTTTATTCCCATTCTTCCAATAAAGTCGCCAACAACTAATATTTTTTTTCGCTGCTCCCATTGTTAGAGATCATTTTTTCCTAAATTTTTGTTACTGCTATTCTTACTAGGCGTATTTTCTTTCTTTTTTATTTCAACAATTATGAATATGACTAGCGTTGCTCTTTAAAATCTTTTACATAATTCTATCATTTTTCTTTGATGTTTCTTAAATTCCATGGACTCAGATTTATTATACGTTCGAAACTGTTTTTTTATGGCTTATTAGCTCGATCTTGTAGGTATTGACCATGTTTTGTGTGAAATTCTGAGAGGTGTTGGTGTACGCTCGGATTGCTATCACATTCTGATGTTTCTGTGACGATGTTCTTAATTATAAAATATTGTGTCTAAGACCTAATATTAACTTACTAATATTGGTATACTCTTATTGCTAAATTCTTCTCTCAGTATTGGTCATTAGAGCCTGCTAAATTCTATTATGCTTTCTGTACATTTTTCTTCATCTAATAAGATAATCGTTTCGTTTATAACTATTTATGCATCTTTCTTCCTGTTTTCCCTCTTCGTCTCTGTTTTTAATGTATGGTTCATGCTCATTTATCCTAACACTTAGTGGTGTTAAAGTTTCTTCCTGATAAAGATTGTTGATTTAATAAAATCGCCCCAGAAACGCACCTTAAAAATATTGACAATATCAGTTTAAAATAATTTACTTTAAATTGTTTAGATTTGGTTTAAATTTCTAAATAACAAAACAAAATAATTGGTTTCGAAGTGGAAATAGAAACGTCAAAATAAACGAATTTTAGAGTGGCTCTCAGCATGATTCACTGCGGCCTTACAGATTACTTAAAACTCCTCATCTAGTCCATATTTCCTAATGAGCTTCCACAGCCTTGAGAGTGTCCTTTCATATAGAATGATGCTTTCGATTTTTCCTCTAAGATTCTGGCTACTGCGGCTTTGTGTGGCCTTTACACTGACATAAGACGTGTAGAGCGAGTTCTTCTTCTTCTAGACAGAATCGACAAGTATCCTTTTCCATCAAGTCCATACGACTTAAATTCTTACTAAGCCTGCAGTGTCCAGCGCAATAGTCTAACTGTTACCTCGGCCACTTCTTTCGATTGTGAGTCAGTAAGTCGGCTATGAATTTGGCTGAATTTCCCTTAATGAGCTCTTTGTCCTGGTGCATTTTTCCATCATTAGACACCTTTCTTGCAAAATGTATCGTTAACTACTGTTTAATGTGTGTTCATAACTGCAAAGGAGGGCTCCAGGCCAATTAATCACAAGCGCCTTCTCGGGCCAGTTTACCAGCCTTATCATTACCTACTTACGTTGGTGCTCTGGAACCCAGGGTACCTAATGTCAGAGAAAGTACCCAAACAGTTCCACGCAAATTTTGAAGGGGTTTTAAATCTCCTTGACTCGGAGTAGATCACGATTGAGTCGTTCTCCACTTGCCGATATATTAGTTATATGGCACAAGTTTGTATAGCGGTAACATCTATCTGAAAAACGGTAACATATTTCCAAGTTTAACCAGATTTCTGTCCTTGGTCTAGTTATATACCAACCCCTGTACCTTCATCGGTTTTGGAGACGTTTGTACACTTGCTGGTACTTTTACATTAAAAAAATGCATTACTGTTTCAGGTTACTTCAATGTTCCATAGTAGAAAGTGTCAACACATCTATATCCAATTCGCTGCCATGCGAAATTTTAAGAAAACACGACTTCTTCCAATTCAGCAAACTATTAGATACTTTTATTGGCGCTTACAATAAACAACAGGAGCAAATGGAGGCTAAGAAACAGGAAGAAGAAAGTTTATATAAGATTAAGTAAGTATGTGCTATAATTAGAATTTATGTGTTTAAAATATCAGATTGTTAAGTTAAATATAATAAATACTTATTTTAATTAACTAAATTTTATGGTAGAGTGTAATATAATGTCTTGTCTTGTTGAGAGTGGGATAATATGGTGTATCTTTAGATGTGTTTGTATAATAAACTAGCCAGTGTATGTTCGCTTCCATATAGAATCTTGTTTATGTAAATGAGACCGTCCAAAGTTAGGTGCCAAATTATGAAAAATTTAACAGTTTTTTGTACACTTTTTACATTGACTGCTCATATCAAAGCGGAACTAAATTTTGAACGTGTCTTTTCTAATTAGACGGCATTTTTCTAAAATCTACTGCTAGATGTATAATTCGCTCTAAAAGGTCTAAAGCAAAACTAAAAATACTCTACTGTACTGTACAAAAACAAGAAGTAGTTGATCAGGACAAAATCAAATGACAGTAAATGTATCCATAACCATGATCTGGATTCCGTCTCATGTAGGAATCTCTGGTAACGAACTGGCCGACCTCTTTGCAAATCAAGCCGCATCTTCTAATATGGAGACTGAAAACATACAATTACATACAGATTTACAGTCGTAGTTTACAAATATTATCCAAATATCTTGGCAAGATCACTGAAATAAAATTCCTTCCAAGCTTCGTGATATTCATCAAACCGTTAAAAAGCTTGAGTTTCCTTCCTAGACTGTCCCTATTTCAACAACAGGAAAAAAGAATCTTCTGAGTCGAAACCTACAAAATATTCTCACCTCTCCAGATCAATTCGAAAACCATATTAATTTCCTCTATGAAACCAGGCTCTACCAGGAAATTTAGAAGAAGAAACGTAGTTTAGAATTTGGTAATTGATAATTGTACCAATATTTTATGTATATCTTTATCGATTGTTATGTTACTGTATATTCTTGTAATGTAATGCAATAAAAATGTATCTGTGTCAAGGACCTACGCTTTCGTGATACGTAAAGCTAAATAAAAAAATAACAGTTCGTGTATTTAAGCCATTTAAAATACCATGCCCAACAGGATTTATGCAATATTTCTACCTTCTGTAGAAGAAATGGAGAGAAATCACCTTCTGCACAAAAAATATGTATGGTACTGCAACGTAAAACAAACCTGGATGGGTAGAAAGGAGGCTCATAAGTTGGGTACTATTTTGGTTAACGTAAAAAGGGAGAAGTTTCGTCTTGGAATTTAAGTTAAATGAAGAATTCAAGGTCTAAAGGCGTTCAATACGCGAACCGGCTGGCAGGTATTTTGAAGGACACAACAAAGCGTTGCGAAGTGGATCAACAGATCTCCAGACGGGAGCAACTGAAGTCGGAATAAAGTAAAAAAGTTAATCTTACTAACTGAAAGAGAAGTATATAAAAAATTTAACTAAATAAAGGAAAAAGGGGTTCCACTTTATCTTTTCTCTGAGTAACAAGAAAAACTCAAGAATTCTATATGGATTTATAAACAAATAAATAAATATATAAAAGTATTAGAACAAATAGGTTGTAATGTTTTCCTAAAATGTCCAAAGGAACAATTAAATTTACCTTATGTGGTCTTTTTTAGAAGTTATTAGTATTACATTTGCGGTACGAAAGAAGGTAAGTTTAGTAGGGAGATAAAATAATAGAAAGTGGTTACTTACTAACTATTTTATCGCTGCATCAAACTACTCAGTATGGTAACTAACTGGACACATTAAATTATATTTTACAAAAAGAGAAATGTCCATTACAAAATAATACTGTCAAACATACATCATTATAAAAATTTAAAGTTTATATCTCTCGATGACCTGGTAAAATATTTTGATTTCAAAATGCATGCACAATTTAAAAAAGCATAATCTACCTTGATTATTATCATACTGGGTCTCCCAATAAGAATGTCCGGATGTTTTTTTTTTTAACGAAAACAGTAAAAATTGCTGTAAATAAAAAAAAATTATTGCAAAATACAATAGATAACAATTATGTTCCGAATATCACATAATTCAAATGTCCACCGCAACTACGTTTGCAGGAGCGAATCCGATGAACCCAATTTCTGGTCACTTTATGCAAAATATCTGCATTAATCTCATGACTGGTGTGCTCTATGTTCCTCTTCAAGTCTTCAATAGATTGTGGTTTGTTCACATACACCAATGACTTAACATAGCTCCATAAACAATAATCCAACGGTGTTAACTCGCAGCTTCTTGGAGGCCAAGCATCTAGGCGAATTTGCTGAATTATCCTTGGATCTCTGGTATCAAGTGAAATCAATGTTTCCGGGAACTTTTCTTTTAATAAATTAATGGTTAGGGCAGTAGTGTGACATGTCGCACCGTCCTGTTGGAAAAACATGCCATCCAAATCTATTTCATCCAACTGAGGCCACAAAAAATTCGTTATCATCGTTCGATACCTTTTACCGTTGACTGTTACACCATGTTCGAAAAAATAAGGTCCGATGATGCCACCATGCCATAAACCACACCAGACAGTGACTTTTTCTGGATGCAAAGGCTTCTCAAGAATCTCATGTGGATTATTTTCACTTCAAAAACGACAATTTTGCTTATTCACAAAGCCGTTTAATCAAAAATGAGCTTCATCGGAAAAGATTATTTTTTTGAAATAATCGCTGTCATTTTCGAGTTTGTCTAGAGCCCAATCAGCGAACAAACGACGCTTATGATGATCAAGTGGCTTCAGTTCTTGAGTCAGAACAATCTTGTAAGGGAGTAGGCCTAAACCTTTTCTCAGAATTCGCCAAGTTGTCATTCTGGTGAGTCCAAGTTCTTGGGAACGACGATTTACATTGCATTCTCCGCTACACTGGCTCTTACAGCAGGAATATTACTGAGTTCTTGCATTTCGGTGTCTAGTTGGTACTTTCGTATTGTGCATAGTAAATTCATGTTTAAACTTTTCCACGATTAGACGAATTACACGCACATCAGGACGATAATTTGATCCATAACTTTCACGTAATGCACGATAGGTATTCACAAAAAAACGATTAGGTATTATCATAAAATTTTAGGATAATTTCCAAACGTTGTTTAAGCGTATATCTTGCCATGGTAATTTGTTAGAGTATACTAAATACAAACGTCAATAAGTGACAGTATTTCTTGTTACAATATACATACAAATTTAGTGAAGTATTAAAAAGCAATGGTTACTCATACATGCAAAAAAATAATAGAATATCTCAAAACACAATGTACTGGCATTGGCTATATGATATGTTAAAAAAATAAAAATAATTACAAGTGTCTTTTGTATTGATATATATCAGGAAATATTCGGTTTATCTAATTGAATTTGTTGTAGCTGGATGTAAAAAAGATAAAACTTGCAGTGAATTATGCTTTTTAATCGCAACTCTGAGTTAACCATACTGCACATACTTAATTTTTATTTCGTGTTTCGTCTTTTCTTGCTGGTGTAACTGCACACTTGTATTTATTGCATATTATTATTTAAAGTAATGTACAACCATATCAGGCAACGATGCACCCATGCATCGTACTATGACAATCCCAGCACCGGCGTAACACCGGATCAATAATGCTCTTTTTCTTATCCCGTGGGGTGAAGAGTATTGCCCATCTTGAACATTTAAAGCGTAAAAAAAACTGCTGATTTCCGGCCTATATTAATATTTAAAACTCAGTTATTATTTTAAAATTACTATGGGTGACACGCAGTAAACGAATTAAAAAGAAAGACAGAGATTGCTTTATCCCGATGCCATTTGACTTTGTTATATCTAAGCATAGCAGAATCGGACAGGAAAAAGCTATTTCCTATAATAAGATAATTGGCTGCCTTACTACCTGTTTATAGTATAGTTATAGTATAGTATTTATAAAGTCAGTTGAAACACCCAAAAACCTGCTTGCCGTCAAACAATAAAAGAATAATATCATATTACCAGACATGGGCGCATTATTTATTTTTATAATCAAATATAGATTAATGTAGAACAGAAAAAGGACAATTTTAATTTACTAAAGCTGTCGTAAAGTACATAAGTGTATAAAAAAATCTTTAACATGTCATATTAAGCAACAAAAATAATTTATAATTAAATGGCAATAGGCTATATTGACAGTACAATGATTTAATTATACTTCATAAAATAATAAACATTTTAGCTGTATAGCACTGGCATGCATCGACAGAGTTTCTTATCTGTACCCTTCGCCACCGGCTAGAAGGGGACCTCCACGTGTTAAGTTAAATATTGGTGATTTTGAATAACATATCAATGTCCAATATTTATTTGATGGGATGTATCTTTCATTTCCTCTTTCTTCCATCTATTTCCTACGAAGTACGGGGATTGTTCAAATACGTTTGAAACATTGACGCGTGTTATTTATACTTTAACTTGATTACCAGTAAATGTAATATTGAACTGCCCTTATAAATCGAATCGGAGAGAAATGTTTCAACTGACTTTATAAATACTATATACAGTTATATAGTATTTATAAAGTCAGTTGAAACTGATGTTGATGGCTTTCAAAAAAAAGATATACAAGCTTTTTATCTGTTTACTTTTTATTTCTTCCTTTATATTTTAACAATCTTATTATATTTACTGACTTTTTAGAACAAATCGCAATGATAAATCAGAAGAGGAGCAGATCCAAGAAGATCTCAACACTCTATTTCCCAACTATCACACCATCGACTTCGCAGACTTTCAAAAAGATGCAAACATCGACGACACACCTCTAGAAAATAAAATAGAAGCAAAGTATGAGGAGGTCATTTCGTATAACGATCTAACAGACATCACTCAACTCCACGTTGATTTACTCACTTGTATGACTAGAAATGAGTGGCTAAATCCAACTAAGACCAAAAAACTAGTTCCCGATTACATTTTGCCGTTACTGGAGAAATTCAAGACGTTCTCCAAAATCCTGGAGAAGGTTATGGATAGTGTGGACTATCGAATGGACGAAGATCTTATTGCTAGTTTGAATGTTTTATTGGCAGTGAAGAAAAGATATGGCAACAGTAAGTATACAAATATTTAAAAATTTATTAGAACAGTTTATATAATATAGTAACATATTATATAAGCTAATCAGTCTGTTATGGGTTTATTCATTATCATCCAGCCTCAAAAGTCCACTGCTGAATATAGGTCTCTTCCTCGTGTTTCCAACCCCTCATGTTTCCAACCTCGTCTATCTAGCGCTACTCTCATCCAGTTTTTATTTGTTTCTTCTTAAATCGTAAGCCCATCGTATAGGTGGTCGACCGACGCTTCTCTTGTCTTTCCTTGGACTTTATTCGAATTCTAGCTATGTGTCCCGACCATCTCCGTTTTAGTCTGGCTATCCTTTCGATGACGTCAGTCACCTTGGTTATTCTTCTGATCTCTTCGCTTTTTTTTTATTTTGTCTCGCAGAGTTATTCCTAACATGGATCATTTCATTCTTCTCTGTATAACTCTTGAGTTTGTTAAAGTAAGTGTTTCTGCTCCGTATGTCAACACTAGGAGGACGCGTTGATCAAATACTTTTCTGTTAAGGCATGTTGGCAGCTCACTTTTAAAAGTTTCTCTCAGTTTTCCATATGCTGCCCACCAAGACCGATTCTTCTCTTCAGTTCAAGGGTCTGATTATCCCTGCCAATCATAATTTTATGTCCTAGGTATTTATATTTATCCACGAGTTTTACTTTTTGCCCACCAATAATGATGTTCTGGTTGGGTACCAAATTTGTCTATATTTAAACCTATATTTTTCGTAGCCACAACGAGTTCCTGTACCATCTCTCTTGCCATTCCAGCGTGGGTTTATTACAATTATCAAATTTAAAAAAGAACTAAGACAGCGAAAGAAAAATTATGCAGTGTTTCTTTCAATTTACAGTTGTACCAAACAATATATTAATAATTTTTCTTCCGTTTTAGCTGATGATATATTCCAAATAACCTCATCTCAAAAAACAAATGACTTCTACAAGGATTCTAATGTCGAAGAAGTCAAATCTTGTTACCACGTTTTGGAAGATCTCAAAAACAAAATCAATGAATTGCTAGCAGAGTGGCCAGACCAGCCAACGTTAAATACGGTAGGAATAATTTGTTCAATTGTGTCTATATGTATCTGTAGGGGGCAAATCTGAAGGACAGTAAACGTCTCTTATATACTTATACGTCTCTTATATACGTAGCAGCTGACTGTGAGAATGGAGCCATCGGCGAAATGATGGGTAGCTCAGCATTCATTGAGTGGAGTATCTACGAAGTTACTTACTGTTATGTTATCTACTACTTACTTGTGCCTGCTTCTGTTTCTCTACCATGATTAACTTAACGAATGTTCCTTAAATTGCTTGTTTTAAAACCTGTGCAACGAAATGCCTAGGTACTTAAAAGATGTAGCAACTGAAGGACGGAATGCAAAAGATATGAAGAAATAAAAATCGGGAGAGGTGATAAGCCAGAGAAAGGTAGAAACAAATAGAAAAAGGAAGGAAAAAGAGGGAACGTATGGCAAAAAGGGAGAAATACGAAACAGAAAGAAAAACAAAGATATGCGAAGACAGAGAGAGAAATATAGGAATGACTGGGGTAGGAATTACGAAATGGAAAGACATTTTCTGATTTTTTATTTTTTATTTTTAAATATATATATATATATATATATATATATATATATATATATATATATATATATATATATATATATATATATAATTAATGAACTTTTCTAACAGTTTCTTATTTTTTTAGATCCTTACAGTAATTGACAGGATCTATAAGTTTGAAATAACAAGTCCTATATCAAGATATCTCACCGGTTTCGAAATATTGCTAACTAAGTGCCACGAATGGGAAGAAGTGGCTCATTCTGGCGTTAGTTTAAGTCAACACACTCAAAATTTGACGAATCAAATTGTAACTTGGAGAAAAATAGAACTTTCGGTATGGAAAGATCTTTTGAGTAAAGTACACGATAGGTAAGTGTTTGATAGTATTTATTTGGAGTTGCTAAAAGAATGTGTTTATTTATTTTGTATAGATTTTCTCAGTATTACGATTTATGTTTCATTTTGTTTATTTTTCATTTACACAACCTGCCTTTCTGTTTTTTCTTTACGGTTATTCAATTTAATTGCTCATACTTCGTGTATTGATACGTAAGTGCAAGAAACTACTTCAGGGTATCTACTATCAGGCTATTAAATGTTGATTATTTTAGCATGTTTATATGACATAAACTATGATACATTTTGTATTGAGTCAAAGAGAAATAAATATGGAAGCCTTTTGTAGTATTAATTACATCCATGTTATAACGTGTTAAACACACTAAGTGAAATAACAGAATTAGGGAACGGCTTTGCCGACACATCGTCTTAGCCCTCGTCGCTCGAGAATGACATGTCCCAATGTTACAGTGATTTTAACAAGTGAAACTAAGTTATCTTATTATTTTCTCTAAAAACCTATGTTAATTTCTTGAGATACGTCCATAAACTTGCTTCAGTTTATTCTACAGTCTGTCAAATAATAAATAAAACTATAAATCATAAATCACGCTCCGTAAGTGGTCAAATGTAGCCGAAATCACGTGTTTATCATGAATTCTAGGAAATTTTGAATTCGATCATTGGCGGTGCATAAGAAAATATGTTTTCTTGCTGTTACTTTACATTGTATCAGTAGAATATTATATTTCTGCTTATAATAATAAAAAAATACATTAGATCAAGTTTGTACAATAAGCTCTCATTCACATTAATAGTTTGTCGACTGAGCAGATGGCGGAAGTAGATTATATACCTAAAGGTGTAAGATACTCAAATTAGTATATTCTTTTTATTTTAGAAGGATATTTAATTACTTAGTCTATCAATAGAAAGAATACTTGCACTAGCAGATGCTTGTTTGATCTGTATGTATATAATGTCTTCTAAAAATATGCCAAAACGTGTTTATTTGGAAGAAGTTATACATCGAGTCATGCAGTTTATCATATTGTTACAAATACGTTCTTCTCTGCAACTAACTGATTCTACGTATTGCGTTGACAGCAGTAAATTGAACAAAACACAATTATCAAGATTCGAATTCGAGTTTATTTCTGAGAAAATTTTAATTCTCTTGAGTGTCAAATAACCAAATTAGTCTATTTAATAGCGGACTTATTGAGTGTCCTGACATTATGTCGAAATGTGTTTGCACAGCTACATTTTTTTTATGTTAAGGTCTTGCCAAGACGGCCGACGGTTTTTTTTTTATTTTCGAATTTTCTGTAAAGCTGGATCTTTTGTTCTTCTCTGATCTTCGTAGGCGTCCACTCCTCGTTGACCACCGTTGTTCTCTGTGACCTCAGAATTTTATGCATTTAAATATTTGGTTGATATAAGGCAAGTCTGAACAAATATTTTCCACATTTCTGAAAAAAAATATAGTAAAATCAATTGCTCGTTTTGTGATTGTATAAAATTATTGTTTTATCTTATGTATCTCTGAGCTATCTACTCCAATCACCACCTTCTGTATATCTATAACATCTTATAAATTCTTATTACTTTTCTCTTACTATATTATTACTTCTATTATTATCTACTGTACAAGAATGCGCTAGTATTCTTATTTTAAGCCCCATTTTTCCTCCCTTTCAATTTAAACCGACTTGATAATTATTTACTCGTTTCAAATTGGCGCCTAACGTGGGGCACGGCTGAGCTAGTCGGACGGTGATAGAAGAGAAAGGAAATATGTATATATATATATATATATATGTTTGCTTGTTATCAATGGGAATGTGGTGTAATTCCATCTTTACACACCTTTGAATATTGGCGAGTCTGTGTACTGTAAAATATGTACTTATTAACAAAAGTACTTATTAACGAAGTTTGTAGTGAAAAATCTGTTTGAACGATCTTTAAGATGATTTTAACTATTAGTGATATGGAATTAAAAACTTCTATGATTTAATATACATAATATCTTATTTTGCAGACTGAATGAACCTTTACCTAAATGGTGGTTACATCTGTACAACGTAATGCATCAGTTTATCGACGAAAGGAAGTTTGGAGAAAAAGAATTAGTAGAAACATTGCAGACGTTTATAACCAAATCAAATATGGCCGAATTCCAGGGTAGACTGAATCTTTTGTACGCTTTCCATTGTCATGCTACCTATTTGGAACACACCGAAGAGACTGAGTCTTTCATCAATATATTATGGAACGTATATAGCTACTTTAGGCAATTTAATGACGTGGTTTCCAAAAAAATTAAGGATTTAAAGTAAGATATATTTCATTATATAGTAATAGTTTGTCAATGTAATTCTTTCGAGCCCCTAATACAATATTTCTTTTATTTAGATCTCCAATAGAAAAAAAATTAAAGGATTACGTCAAAATAGTCAGATGGAAAGACATCAACTACTGGGCCATAAAAGATACGGTCGAGAAATCACATAAAAATATACACAAATTTATGAGAGAGTACCAATCAGCCTTGGAGCAACCAGTTTCACCTTGCATTCATAATATCGATCCTGAAAGCAGTTCTCAAAATGTTGGTATTTGGGATAAACCGAAGAACGGAAAATCGCCTGATTTCTACAGCCACTATTTAACTAGCGAAATTGACAACTATTTAAGTGATCAACAGGTAAGTAATTGATGTATGTATTTACCATAGTTTGTAACTATTGTTTGACAAAGGACTATTGAATTATAATTTTCAGTTTGCTTTTCTACGCCATATGTTTTCAATATCTACCTGTGAGTTTTTAGTTACCTTGAGTATGAATTTGAACATTTACACCTCTTTTGGGAGCATATTCTGTTCAGACAACCCAATGAACTGAACGGAACTGAACTGCACATTTCCATTTCCTTGTGTAATGTTGTCCTTATCCTGATTCTTGTTTGCTTTATATTTTTTGTCCAGTACTTTTTTTACTGATTCTATGTTTCTCGAGCGTTATATGAAATGTCATTTTGATTTGCTATTGTATCTAACGACTTCTTACTTAAGCATAAGTTTTATATATTCTTTTTACTTGGTTTTCTTCATTTTTTAATTTTTTAAATCCTACAATTTCCTTTTTAATCTGTCTTTGAAACTTTTTCACTGTTGTCAGCCTTTTTATTAGAGAATAAGTTGCTATTATTGCTTTATGTCCAGGTGTACTTTAAAATCGCCATAAATAATTGGCCCTTTGGTTTTTTCCCCAGGTCTTCCGCTCTATTTTAAATTGACAAAACGTTTCTTTTGGGTTCTGTTAGCTCTTCCTCCAGCTTTAAATGTTCGTTTTTAGGTTATCTTGTTTTAAGTTTGGTTAGAATGTGATTTCGAATGTCTTATCTAGTCAAATAGTTAACAGTTCTGTCTATATCTTTCTTATTAGCTTTTTTAAATTTATTTCACGTGGTATTGCTGTTTTTAACTGGATATAGTGCTGGTCTAAAGTTCGTCCCTTTTTAACTATTTTCTGAACCACAAAATAATTACACATTTGTTTTTATAATTCAAAATGGTAGACGGTTGTAAAATTATTTTAAATATGACCATATGGCAAGTAATACTTTATTTGACAGATCTTGTGTTACTCGGTATGTTACTATATTTTTGTGCGAGTTAGTACTTATTTCAAAAGTGACGACCGTTTAATCTTTAGTGGCGACAACAAAATGTATGGTCTTCGGCTTTTACGGAAAACCCTAGGCCAGTTCCAATTTGTTTTCTAGCATTTAAGTCTAAACACACACTAACTCTCCTCTACAACAACTAAAACCCATTTTGAAACAATTTGTTAAACCATTATTTTGGCCCAACAAAACTACTTGAAATGTAAAAATAATAATTTCACGTCATTTAGCATGGTGTCTACCGTATAAATATGTAATTTTATGGCCTCTCAAATCTCAGTTACGATTTTTTTCGACGTCTTTATATTTACTAAGTTACAGAGCAAAATATATTTTTTAGGAAATTCAACATTCTATTGAATCTGCTACCGGTTCAGCAAAGAGGTCGCTTGATAAAGCAACAAAAGTTCGTGAGTTATCTAGGCAAATAATTTTATCTACAACGTATCCTGCATTAATACAAGACTTAGATGGGTTTGTAACGGAAGTTATAGAAACTAGCAGTCATCTCCAGAAATTAGAGGTAAACATTTAATATATTTTTAATAGAATATTGTACTCAGTAGTTTAAATACTTGGTAGTGAGAAATTTGATGAGTTGGATTATAAAGGTTTTTTCTCGATTCCTAACGCTGACAGATAATACAATGAAGTCGTAATAACTAGGTGTTAACTATAGTCAATATTGAAGACTAAGTTTAATAAAGGGGTGGATGTGTCATACTTAAATCGCCAATCGAGACAATTCAAGTGTTATGACATGCATTATGCATTTAGGTCGATATTGTATAGTTAGATTGTAATGAAAGTTGGGTTAATAAAAAAATTTTTTTTAACCATCCACGTCAACCTGTCAACGAATGTTGATATACCGAATTTCCATGTAGCGTTAAATTCCAAACTTAAAACTCTTTCTTACAAAAGCAAGCATTAGCATATTTTTTCTCTTTGCTCCTTTAACTGAGACACTCATTGCTACAGTTTTTTTGATTTTACTATAGTTCAAATATAAAAGGTATTTTCTTGTGTAATATTTATCTATTAGACTCTTAATAAAATATTTGTTTGCCTCCTTGACCATTCCACACTACGACCTGAAACATATTTTGTATAAATTCTACATCATTGATGGTTGCGTTCGATTAGGCTTTTGGTTCAAGGCCTTACTTTAACAGTTAAGTTCAATCTTGTTGTCGCTGTACCTCATACTCATTTGTTGGACCTTGTTCGGTCATTGCTGAACTTCATTGTAGTTTTTTTTTGTTCATTTTTATTTTACGAGAAGCTAGGTAAGTAATTGGCACTGACTGCAAAGTCGCGCGTGCTAGAATAAAGCTAATGCAAGGGTGTCGCATGGTACCCGGAGTTGAGCCGACCTCAGTTTCCGCTCGGACTGGATATGAAAAAATTATTTTCCACCATGACAAGATTACATGGCACTAAAAGGGCTCTATACATTACAATTATATATTTTCTTTATTTGCGTTTTAGGTTGACACAACTTTAACCAAGGAAAAACAAAAATCGCAAGCGAAGAACATTTTACAGCGAAAGCATCGCGCTTTAGCAGATCTCTTCAAGAGTCTTACAAAGATGGGACTATCTTTTAAAACTGGTATTGTCGATAGTAAAGTCAAAGATCCAACTGCAGAGTTTCTCATTAAACCGATCGATTTAGAAAGCCAGTTTCGTAATGAAAACTATGGGTGAGTAAATAATTTTTGTAAACGATATTGTATCTGTAACTTGCAACATAATTTTCAGTTTTTAAATCAAGCTTGTCCTATCAGCCGTTTAGGTTTAAAAAATGTTGTAGGGATCAAATCATGTTTTAGTGTATTTCTGGGTATTAAACCGTTAAAAAATTGTGTTGCTGTGTATGGGAAAGTTTGGTAGACGTTTTGACCAAATAGCATTCGTCATAATGGATAATAAGTTGTTTAGGTAGACTAATTCCGTGTCTATTATTAGTTCCTTGTAAAGTACAAGGCAAAATCGGATGAAAAAACATTCCAACTGAAGACAAGAAAGCAGTAGGTTGCTGTCTTTCTCATGACCGAACGAATATTTTCTTGGTATCTCTTAATTTCTACAAAAGGCTTGTCGATGATTTCTCGGCTTGTCGGCTTCTCAAATTTTTATTGTCGTCAGTCATCACTGTCCTTTAACTAGCATCAGTAAATACGGGTCTCGATATAATTTTGTAGATTTTAATTTGTTTGAAAGTTAGTTTGTTTATGGTATTATCGATCCGTACTCACTCATAGAAAAATCTTCTCATTTCTATGAATTCTACTATTTTACCTTCATGTTTTTATACGATAAAATTGCTAATTACCACATTTATTTATAATTTATTCGTAAATCACACCGTTTTTTCTTTCGTTGGCCATCTGGTCCTTCCTATCAGATATTACACCAAAGTTATGCGTAGGAAGTTCTAAGTGTTCCTTTTCTCTAAAAGCCTCTTCCTTTCAGACTATGACATGGTTAGGTCTAGTTGGAGCTCCCTAATGGTAGAGCAAAAGACGAACTCGGATAATAAAACTATTTTTTATGTTTCGCTTCTTCGCCGATTGCTGTCTCATTTTTAGAAATCTACTTTAACTGTTACCGAGCCTCTGGACGTCTTGGATTGAATCGTCCATACATTTTTAAGTTTGTCTCTGTATGTCTCTCTATTGGTAGAAATTGCTGGTTCTTTTCATGTTCACCCCCCTCAGTAGTGTATGCTGAGTCTTTCTTGGATGTAATGTGTTACTCTGCCGTTCCATGAAAATTATTCTACGAGTTTGCACTCTGCTCTGTTAATAGCTTCTGTCGGTTGGTTTCTGCCATGTCCGCCATAGAACATCACCGCTGTAATGTACACCTGGGTTTACCGAAACTTCTTGTTTTGTGATAGAGGACTAGTATTTTTCGTGAGGTAGAGCTTTCTGTCGAAGTGGAATCCTTTTTATAAAATTGCTTGTTGGTTTTTATTTAACGTAAAGTTAGCCGCGTTAGTCTCCGAAAAAAATTCTGTTGGCCGTAGGAAACAGCTGCATTCTTTGATTTCTTGTCCTGAACATATCTAGAACAACTTTTAAATAATATGCATCAGCTCTAGAACAGACTTAAACCTATTCAGAACCATTTATGTATCTGTTCTAGCCGAAATTTGTGTCCGACAGATATAGGTATTTTTAAGTATGAGAAAATGTTCCTTGATAATTGTTTTTATTAGGTTTGTCGATTAAACATCTTCTTAAATTTCGAAATAATATTCTAGGTACATAGTAAATTACTAATTTTTCAATTGCAGCTATAAAGAAGAGAGAATATTGTCATTTTGGGAATCGAGTGAAAAATATTACGTGCGTTCTTTAATGAGATTCGACGTACTGGAAACGGCTTTGCAAAATCCATCTAAAGAACTTGGAATGCAAAATATCGAGAGGCTGAAAGGTTTCAGTCAGGATATGTTGGTAAGTACTTCATTGGTTTTCTAAGAAAATTTCAGTACAGAATTAGTAATAACCTCGAACTTTTGTGTGGAATTTGTAGATGTAGAATTTGAAATATTATGAAGTATATGTAAAATATGGAATGCTTGTCTTCTAGTTTCAGTTCTATTTGTGACTTACCTCATTGTTAACGAGGCGCTAACTAATAAACTACACACAACTAATAAAACAACAATATTTAAGCAAAAGGGGATCTTGCTCTTCAACATAGTATCGTCCTTTCTTCGATAGTGATATCCTCTCTTGTTTCCATAACATTTCTCATCTCATTTGTTCTAAATTGCTTTCTCGGTGCATTATTTTGTGATTTGCAAGTAGTCGCTGAGGAAAACCACTTTTTTATTCTTCACTTATTTTCGTTTATTCTCTAGTGATGTTTTTTGTTTCTCAAGGTAATCAATGCGCAAACTACCTTTTAGCCACCTACCACTACCACTTTAGACACCTTACTCTGCTACTGTTGATTATCTTGTAACCTAAATTAAACCTAATATGGGTAAAAAGGTACCTTATCTTTCTGATAATTAACTGAGTAATATAAAAAATATAACAAAGGTGTTTAACCCTTTTTTAATCTTTATATATCCAAAGAAAAAGAAACAATCACATTTACTACAATCAATGGACGACACCTGCCACAAGCCAAGAACATACATCATATTTACTTATTACTGTATTGAAGTAGATTGTAAATTAGCAATAAATAAATAAATAAAAAAAATTTACTTCGTATAGTCTTTTAGTAAACTTGCTAGAATTATTATCTCAATATGTTAACAAGTCAAACATATGTTAAAATGTCCTTTAAAAAATTTTATTTTAAGAACAAATATACTTTATCTAATTTACTTACCGTTGCACGTCATTATCATTGACAGAGATCGAAGTTGACATAGTTGCCAAAGTTTAAAAAAATCCTGAATCCATTTTAAATCATATAGGTCACATAATTATAGCAAAAATGGATTATACAACAAAACATATTAATATAACACACACTAATAATAATAATAATAGTAATTAATAACGTCGAACTATTGATTGACATCAGGAAAGATGTTTCCCGAGACTGAGGGTTTCCTACTTGCCATTCAGGATCAGGTTATTTCAACAAAAAATTACCTGAAATATATTGTTAAAGATCCTCAAGTCCAAAATGACAGATGCCGATATGGATGCCAAGCCCAAGAAACCATCCAACATCTTACCGGTGGTGGCTGCCAGACATTTGTCGGTACTGACTATAAAGAACGTCATGACTCAGTAGGAAAGATTATCCACCAAGAACTAGCTAACAAACTGGGACTTCTCCAAACCGACCATCTTCCTTATTATCAATACGTCCCTGACAGAATGCTTGAAAATGACAACTACAAGCTATACTGGGACTGCACTGTGCTTACAGACCAAGCAGTAGCGCATAATAGACCGGATCTCATACTAGTTAATAAACTTACTAGGCAAACAACACTTAGTGATGTGGCTATACCCAACACCAATAATTTACGTGTTAAATACAACGAAAAGATCGCCAAGTACAGAGATCTAGAAATGCAAATCAGCAGACAATGGAGAATGGGAAGTACCCAGATAGTACCTATTATTCTAACTACTACTGGTGTTATTCCCAAAAACCTCCTAGAGAACAAAACAGCTGGGTCTAAATGAACATCTCTTTAAGGCCATGCAGAAGGCTATACTCCTCGCGACGTCCAGAAGTCCAGAAAATTTTTGGGAGATACTCCAACATACCAAGTCACCTACGGCTCGATAACATGGAAAGAGTCCCACCAGAGCTCAATTCTGATACCGTAGGTATCTGGGATGAGTGAATTTTCCCCTTAGAGGGAGTGTGAGCCGAATGGCTAAATTTTGGGCTATTAATAATACACACTAATTTTGTTCTAAAAAGAACAGATTTTATTAAATAGGTAAAAATATAAACCAAGAGATATTCACTTTAAAATCAAAATAATAAAGTACAAAAAGTGTCAACACTGCAACTGTCAAATAAGTGTTACCAATTTATGCCAAAATATCACCTTCGTTCGATTATAGTTACAGTGTGTTCCGAACAAATGTTCTTCATAAAAACGCTTTATAATCCATTTATACCAATTAAATGAAACATATTATTGTGTATTTCTTTAATTTAACATTAATAGAAATCTTTAAATATTATTTCTACGCGTATATAATAAAATATGTCTAGTGGCTGTAATGCCAGTGTATTCGGCAAAGTGATTCTAAAAAAGAACACACCTACCGCCTAAATATTAAGTAAGTAAATTAGATGAAGTATATCTATATACTTACAAATTTGACATAAGAATACAACAGATAATGGTTATTCTTTGATTCTGGTTTCATGCTGCTATAGGAAACCATTGAACTGAGGGACAATGTTTCAGCTCCTGTAAGGAGAGAACTGGATGAGTTTTTATCATCTTGATAACAAGAAATGATCCAGAAATTAAGAAAACCATCATGTGGTTCTCACAAAAATAAAAACACTTCCAACTCTACTTTGGACGAACCAAACTGTTCGCCTCCTTCGAACCAAATCACTGAATCGAAATGATTTCGTCGACTATCTTGACGAAAGTGACTTTCTCTCTCTCTCTCTCTCTCTCTCTCTCTCTCCAAGGCGACGCGAACCAAGTTTTGAAAGAAACGCGCGGGATAAGAAAGGGATAGCGATTGGTTTTGTTGGAGGCATCTGGCTGAGTAAACAAATCATTGGATTGTGTTATTCTAGCTCAAAAGTCTATAGCACAATTTCAACGTGTTAAATCAAAGCCTTTAATCTACAATGTTACTACTGATTTGCGACTGAAGGAACTAACGGATCCATAGTTCAACCATTCAACCATATTTCACGTAGTATTTTGTGTTGAAAAACTTGTCAACAACTAACTGAAACGTCGCCTCTTTTAACTATGGACAAACCTCGCGTACACTGCAAAAATGGTGTCATAAATTTTTGGTTCAACTACACAACTGTCATTCCAAGTGTCAATTTACTATTGTCCAAAACGATTTTGTGAACTTTGGGATGTTCTTTTGAAAGCTTTCTAGTTTTGACGCTAGTTGGTGATAGTATTCAGCATCAATTGTTTCTCTATGGTCGCTTTTAAAGTCAGCTTGTCATATCCCTAACCGTTGTTTCCGACGCAGCAGAGTTTTTATCACACTTATTAAGCCACAGCTTATCACACTTATTAAGCCACTTATTCAAAAAGGATAGACACGCGGAGATAATGTTAAAGCACTGTGGAAAACAAGTAGGAATCAAGACAGCAAGATTCATGACAATCTTCATTACTGGATAAGAGCCACTCAAGGGACACTTGCTTACTATGGAGCTGTATCATGGATTTTTAAGGTAAAGACTATACCAGATCACCTGAAACAGTCAATTACATCTTTCATGACTGCGAATTAGATTGCAGGTGGCAAACAGTTTTTGGAGACTATCAAGTAACTCCAAAAACATATGTTAACTTTTCACTGGACCTGTGCAAGCTGGTACAGGATCCCAGAATTCTGGAATGGGTATCATGAATGAATTGAAGATTTGCAATAAGACACGTAACTGTAGTTCGACCAGTTTATAACGAAAGGCTTTTCATCAAGAAACATTGCTTTATTAATGCGGTTCATTTTTTTTCATTGTTTGTAAACTTGCAATAGTATCGACACTTGAACCCTTGTAACTTGTAAACTAAGTGTCCGATTCAGCTCAAGCTTTCACATCTGACGTTTGAAGGTTATTATTTTTCAAAAATTATACATATTTGTTATTAGTGACGATATCTATACGTGAGGCTTGAGACTATTTGAGTGTGATATAACGTTTGTGTTAAAAAGAATATTTTATTTTAGTTAAACTATTAGAGGTTTTATTGATTGCTTCTTTTTAATGTATTAATTTATTTTCAGACTTCAATTCAACACCAGAAGATTAAATTAGTAGAAGCCAGCAGAGTTTATTACTACATTAGACACTATGCTCGTCAACTCAAACAATTTTGTAATGCCAAAGAATATCTTCCATGTAATGTGATCGATAGCATAACGGTTTTGTTGTCTAAAATCAACTCCACGATGAGCCAGTATCAAATATGTTTAAATACTTGTCCAGTAGAGAACAGTTTTAACTCTGAAACTGTTGAAATTCTTATTCTGGAGACTAATTTGGAAAACAGAATAGTTTACAAAAATGACAAGTATTGGTCTAAAGCAACTGCTCTTATCAGCAATATTCAATCTTCTTGTAGGAAACTTATTTCACAACTATTTAAAGCCAAAGCAGTAGTACCAACCACTGATTTCCAATTACTGAGGGATCAATATGTACCTATAACGAATTTAAGTGAACTAAGCAATAATTTATCAAGTGTACAGGAAGAAATATTGAGTCTTAAAACAATTTTTGCCAACACAAAACTAATAAATAATTTACTAGTGTTAGCAGATGAAGTCCAACAAATTACAACTAATTTAAAAAATCCAGTAGTAACTATTACATCAGTTGAAGGCGAGATTTCTGCCAAATGTGAACAACAAATTAAGAAATTATCCAAAAAAATTTTAAATACTGTCACAGATCTGCACAAACAATATGAAGCTATACCTAAACCCAAAGATGATTCTGACCAAACTGAAGAAAGTATTCTAGAAGACCACCTGACAAAATACTTGGTGGACAACTTGTCGAAAGATATTTCGCAATTGGACATGCAGGTAATCCTAGAAGAAATTAACCAAGTAGCTAGTTATATTATGGGGGCTTCTTTGGAAAATATGGATAAAAGAAAAACATTGGCAGGTCAAGTTTACCATGTGCTGGACCAAGCTATACTACTCCAACGATATTTTTTCACTCAACAAGTTGCTGCCTATAGAGTTAGCTGCAAGATGGCTTCTGTGTTACTCAATATCTTTATCGAATTAGCTTCAAAGGTAAGTTAAATACCTGTTTTTCTTTTTTTATAGCTGTCTATTACGGTTAGAGAGGTCTTTTATTTGTTTTATTGTTAATGCAGTTACCATGTTTTTTAATATGGATTTTTTCTAAAATATCTTTATATAAAGAGGGTTATATTCCAAAGAATGCTTTAAAAAGACCAAGGAAATTTATTGTCTGCTGTATGGAAAGTCTATGAACAGTCAAGAAGAAATAATTGGAGAATACTGTCTCTAAGCCAGGAAAAGTTATGATTGTAACTTACTTATATTTAGAAGGCGATCTCAACTTTCTTATATTATTTAGTCACAAATATATCTTCCCTAAATTTATCTCCAGTTTTTGATACGTTATAGTTTGAGGTCTTCTTCCCTAATTAGATGACAAGCCGATTCTACAGCGGAAATCACGTGACACTTCACTAATAGCTCTAGATAACCACGTGACTAATATGGCGGCCAACTAGATAAACGGAGATTTAGCTAAAACTACAAATTTTGGGTAGTAGGGCTTGCGAAGTAAATAATTAATAGCTTAAGACTTTTAGAAGGTCGGAGGGTAACGTTAAAGTTTTTTTTGTTTTTAAGTCAGAGGATTGAATTCAAACATTTGGAGCTTTCACCTCTTACGTCCTTATGTATTCCTGTATATACGAGATACTTCAGTTTATAAATATTATCGTATATTTGTTTAATCATAGTGATTATTCTCATTTTTGTTATTTGCATACATTTTTGTTTTAGGGATTCTGTATTCCACCCGAGTTTTCCGACGAATTCGATAAAGAAGGAATAAGTAAACCATCGGACGGCTTAGGATTAGGAGAAGGCCAAGGAGAACGGGATGTTTCGGATAAAATAGAATCCGAAGATCAACTGGACGATGCTCAACCAGCAGGCAAAGAGAAAGATAACGAAGAGGACAAAGACTGCAAGGAGGAAGAAAAGGGAATTGAGATGAGTGAAGATTTCGATAGTAAACTGCAGGTAAGTTTATCGGTTTTATGTTAACATTTTAAGGACCGAATTAGATTATGCAGTAATGATAAAACAATAATCCAATGATAGTGTTATCAAATGTCCAAAGAACATACAAACAATAATATTTACTCCTCTATTTATCATTGTAATATACATTTGTCAATATTTTTCTATTCTCAGATACGGCTAGCAAAAGAAGATGGAATAATACGGAGACAATAGCGCTTAGACAATATATTATCAAACGATAGATCTATGGGCCAGTATTGAAGATCAGGACAAGCAAATAATTTAGTTTATCAAAAACTGTTCTGAAAATCCAAGATTATTAATATTTTGTGTACTTTAATATTTTAAAACTAGTTTTTTTTACTGCTCCCCAAGTAGTGGCCAAGGTTTCTGCAGTTTGGTGATAATGACTACTATTTGAGATAGGTACTTCTTAATATGGAAAAGAACTAGATCTAAAAGTTTAAATAAATGATATACCATATTAACAAAAATATTGATGAAAATAAATATCAAGTCAGAAAGAAGATGATAATATGGGAGGATTTTAATGCTCGAATAGTCAGTCAAGTAATAGCCGGAATTAAGCAAAAACATAACGAGGATGTTAAAAATGCAAATGGAGAACTGATGATAAATTTTTACACGAATAACGAACTAAGAATAAAGAACACATTTTTTGACTACAAAGTCCAACACAAATATACATTTAATTACACCCGTGGACAAAGATCTATGATAGATTATGTTATAACCAACAGGGATATACATCCACCGAAAATAATCGACGAAAGATGCCTCAACTCAGCAGATGTGAAGAAAAGAAAAAAGCCTTTTTACAATGCAGAACACAACAAACACAACAGGCATACGACCACTATAAACGAATCAGAAATGAAACGAATAGGTACTTTAGTTAGTCAAATAAAAAGGGAATACTGGCAGAGCTGCTCAAACCAGATGGAACACGACTTTTACGGAACACAAAAAGAAATCTGGAGAGTTATCAGAGGACAAGAAAAAGAGATGAATGTACTAATAAAAACGAAACACATTCAGAAGGAAACATGGGTAGACTACTTTCGATCCCTATTTGCTAAAGGTGACAATAATGCATTAAGGAAATTAAAAAATAAAAAATCAGCAGGAGAGGACAGAATACCGAACGAACTCCTAAAGTACGGAGGACCACGTCTGACCAAACAACAGTTAAAATTAATCCAAAAAACAATAAAACAAAACAGAATTCCTCAAGAATGGAGATCACGCATCCTAATCTCTTCAAAATGGGAGACAAATTGGACCCATAAAATTAGAGAGGAGTTAATCTATTAAACACAAGACTAAGGGCCAATTGTTCGAACCCTAATCAATACTTGATTGTAATCAAATATTTAATTAAAATCAAATACGTCACATTTCAGGTTATGTTGACTGATTTATTTTATTCAATTTTATTATTTTGCGTTTTAATTTAAAATAAACCATAATTAAACTAATTGATGGATTCGACCGTTACTTGATGGAAATTCATTTTATGTAACAATAAAACACTGAAAACTTTGTTTTCAAACTTCCACAAAATTTATTTTAAATATTATCACTACAGCTGTTTCGGCTGATTGCCTTTCTCAAGTGATCTATTTTGGCTTGGGTTTACAAATTTATAGTCTCTAATGAAATAGGTTGAGGAGGGGAGAACTGTTTGTCTCAAGTTGGTCATTCAGAATTATATCTGTGTTTTTTAATTTGTTGATTTCCATAGATTCTAACAAAGATAGCTTAAGGCCTTTATTTTGAATGTGAAGAATTTTAAATTTGTCATTAAAAGAATGATTATGATCTAGAAGGTGAAGTGCGTATGTCGAATCTGTTTTTCTATTCTTGAAAGCCCTTTTATGTTCTGCTATTCGTTTATCAAAGTTTCTACCAGTTTGACCGATGTAAGTTTTTGGGCAGTCGCCACATTGGAGTTTGTATACACCACTATTTAAGTGTTTTTTATTTTGGCTCTTGTTATTTTTAATATATTTGCCTAGGTTGTTATTTGTTCGGAAAGCTGGTGTTATTCCTTTCTTTTTTATGTGTTTGGCAATTTTTGTTGTTATTTTGCCTGTATATGTAATCGAGCAGAAGGTACTGGGTTTTTTCTCTGGTGGTGGAAATACTAATTTCAGGGCTTTCTTGTGTAGTTTTTGATTTAATATTTTATTAATTGTTTGTTCGTTGTATCCGTTGTTTACTGCTATTTGTTTAATTATATTTAATTCTGTCTCAAAGTTGTCTTTTGACATCGGAATTTCTGTTAATCTATGTAACATACTATGATAAGCTGCCAGTTTATGTTGTGTTGGATGGGATGACGAATTGTGTATAGTCGTGTCAGTATGGGTAGGTTTATGAAATATGGAGAAGTCATGTTTGTTTTGAAGTCTGCTAATTTTTAAATCTAAAAAATTTTATGGATTGATTTTGTTCTGTTTCTATTGTAAATTGAATATGACTATGAACTGAATTAATATATGATAAAAATTGGTCGAGTTGCCTGTTAGTTCCTGTGAAACATACCAGTACGTCGTCTACGTATCTCCACCAATATAAAAACTGTTTGAATACGGGATGTTTTGAAATCTTTGTCTCTAGATGATCCATAAAAATATCTGATAACAATGGGCTTAGAGGATTACCCATTATAAGTCCTGCACTGTTATTTGTATATATTTTATTATTAAATTCAAAGTAGTCCTGGTTTATGCAAACTTCAAGAAGATGTAAAATTTCAGATGTAATTATTGGATTTGTACTATTTTGGTCTAAAAGGTTTTTTACTAGAATAAAAGTTTCTGTAGGAGGGATACTAGGAAAAAGATTTTTTACGTCAAATGAAATTAATCTGGAATTGTTAGGTAATTGAAAATGTTGTATTTTATTAACTAGTTCTATTGTATTTTTTATGGTAAATTTAGGTGACCACACATTAGACCACAATTTAGACCACACTAAATTTTCACCTAAATTAACCTAAACAAACATGACTTCTCCATATTTCATAAACCTACCCATACTGACACGACTATACCCAATTCGTCATCCCATCCAACACAACATAAACTGGCAGCTTATCATAGTATGTTACATAGATTAACAGAAATTCCGATGTCAAAAGACAACTTTGAGACAGAATTAAATATAATTAAACAAATAGCAGTAAACAACGGATACAACGAACAAACAATTAATAAAATATTAAATCAAAAACTACACAAGAAAGCCCTGAAATTAGTATTTCCACCACCAGAGAAAAAACCCAGTACCTTCTGCTCGATTACATATACAGGCAAAATAACAACAAAAATTGCCAAACACATAAAAAAGAAAGGAATAACACCAGCTTTCCGAACAAATAACAACCTAGGCAAATATATTAAAAATAACAAGAGCCAAAATAAAAAACACTTAAATAGTGGTGTATACAAACTCCAATGTGGCGACTGCCCAAAAACTTACATCGGTCAAACTGGTAGAAACTTTGATAAACGAATAGCAGAACATAAAAGGGCTTTCAAGAATAGAAAAACAGATTCGACATACGCACTTCACCTTCTAGATCATAATCATTCTTTTAATGACAAATTTAAAATTCTTCACATTCAAAATAAAGGCCTTAAGCTATCTTTGTTAGAATCTATGGAAATCAACAAATTAAAAAACACAGATATAATTCTGAATGACCAACTTGAGACAAACAGTTCTCCCCTCCTCAACCTATTTCATTAGAGACTATAAATTTGTAAACCCAAGCCAAAATAGATCACTTGAGAAAGGCAATCAGCCGAAACAGTTGTAGTGATAATATTTAAAATAAATTTTGTGGAAGTTTGAAAACAAAGTTTTCAGTGTTTTATTGTTACATAATTAAACTCTTTCTGATGTTAATTTCATGGTTTTATTTACAAATAAATAATAATATTAAGCAATTTTTAATAATTTTGACAGCTGCTGTGACGTATTGGATTGTAATTAAATATTTGATTAGATAATAATGATAAGCGTTCGAAAAATCGGCCCTAAAATTAACAACCAAAGTGATAACAAATAAACTGAAATTATAACACTAGCAGAAAAACAATAAGCTTTAGGTCGGGAAAACCATGCACCGACGCTAGAATACAACAAACCGGCTTATCTATGTTTCGTGGACCTTAAAAAGGCATTTGACGGAGTAAAATTAAAAGACCTTATCCATTTACTGTACCAAGAGAGATACCTCTATTGAAGCTGGCAATAGGATAAGACAAGGAGGTTCCCTGAATCATCTATTGTTCAACCTGATGATAGATGAAATAATAAACAAAAGTAAGAACTATAAAAGGATACCAAATGGAAAAAAAACAACTTAAAATAATCTGCTATGCAGATGACACAACACTACTCTCTCAAAGTGAAGATGATTTACAATGTATGCTGGACTATTTTAATATGACCGCCAGTAAATCTAACATGTTAATTTCCCCAAAAAAGACAAAAGTCATGCTTACAACAGCAAATTTAACAAGATGTAAGTTGGAGCTAGAAGGTCAGATAATAGAATAAGTGATGGAGTTTAAATATCTAGACATGACATTATCTAGCTACGGAAAGCTCGAAACTGAAGTGGAAGATCAAGTGAATAGAGCAAACAGAGTCGCAGGCTGCCTGGATGAAACAATATGGAGAAATAAAAATATCGGGAAAGAATCGAAAGGCAGAGTTTACAAAACAGTCATCAGATCAATAAAGACATACGCGGCAGAAACAAGACCTAACACAGAGAGGACAAAAAGGATGTTAGAAACAGCAGAGATGAAAGCACTTTTTGTGTATGAAAAATTGATGGTAACACATTATGGGACAGAGCTAGAAGTACAGATATACGACGTAGATACAAGGTGGCGAACATCAAGAACTAGGTAAGAAATAAAAAAGTAGAATGGAAGGATCATATAAGTCGAATGACAACAAATAGAGTAGTAAAGACGGCAAGAGACGGTTCCCCAATAGGAAGACGATCAGTGGGAAGACCACTAAAACGATGGAACGACAACTTAATTGATGTACATTGAAAAACAGACAGTCATGTCTATATAAAAAGAAGTAGAAGAACAAAACATTGTTCGAATAGACTGATATATTTGATAAATCAGATCTGTAATATATTTAAAATAATGTTATATTAGTTGAACGACTATTTCAAAGATGGCGCCAGGATTGAAAACATAAAATTAATAAATTGTAATTACACAAGCATTGAACACTGGGCGGTTGAAGAAGCTCTGGTCAATAGTAGAATAGATTCAAGATACCGACAATTGATACATGATATTTACCAAAACGCAACCATGACCGTAATTCTGGACGATAAATTAATAACAGATAATATAAAAGTTAAACGAGGAGTCCAACAAGGCGATATAATTTCACCTACACTGTTTACCTTGACCCTCGAAGACATAATAAAATCAACAGATTGGGAAAACAGAGGAATATGTATTAACGGAAAATACCTAAATCACCTTAGATATGCGGATGATATACTCCTGATCTCCTCGGAACGACAAGAACTGGAATTAATGCTGAATGAACTTCATGAAAAATCACTGCAAAAAGGCCTAAAAATTAACTTCAACAAAACAAAAGTAATGACAAACACGGAAGACCAAGAGGCAATAAAAATAAAAACAGAAAAAATAGAACAGGTAAATGAGTATATCTATCTAGGACAAGCAATCAGAGCTAATAGAGAAAATCAAACAGCCGAAATATCGAGACGAGTAAGAGTGGGATGGGCAGCGTTCGGCAAACTTTCTTACGTTCTAAAAAATCAAACAATCCCTCTATACTTACGAAGCAAGGTATATAACTCCTGTATCATACCGGTGCTCACCTACGGAGCACAGACATGTTGGGTGTATCACTTAGAGATAGAAAACGTAACCAGTGGATCAGAACCAGAACAAAGACATTAGACGCGATAGAACAAGCAGCAAAACTGAAATGGAAATGGGCTGGACACAATGAACGTCTCCAAGACGGACGATGGAACAATGCCATCGGAAAGTGGCGTCGTTACAATGCAAAGAGATCAAGAGGCAGACCACAGATGAGGTGGAAAGATGACATCAGGAAACAAAGAGGTCCCACATGGCAGAGAACAGCTCAAAATAGGGAAATATGGAGAGAACTGGGGGAGACCTATATCCAACAATGGAAGGATAGAGAATAGGTTAAAAAAAAATTACACAAACAAGTAATATGTATTATATTATGCATATGTGTTATAATATGTAAAGTCGAATAAAATTTAGTTTATAACTAATACACCTGCCAAGAACTAAAATGTCGGAAAGAACTATAAAGGAGCAGGTGTCGTTTAAAAGATGAGATAAAAATACAATACAAGCACATGAATGCTTATAGAATTTAAAGAAGTATGACTGGTATTACTAAAGATACTGTATTTAATATAATTCCGGCCTGGCGATGGTCCACGTCTCAAGTCAAGCAGTCCAAAAAAAAAGACAAACAAGAAATCCATACAAAGAATGATAAGTCAAAATTACAGAGTTGTCAAAAATGGATGCTCATTTACCTGTAGTAAAAAATTAGAATCATTTAAAAAAAAAAATATATATATATATATATATATATATATATATATATATATATATATATATATATATATATATATATATATATGACACTAATTGACAGATATAAAGCAAAGAGAGGGGAAGAATTTATAAATATTTTCTGTATGTTTTTCTTTATAAACTGTTTCACTGAAACAAATATTTTCTAGGATAAAGAAAAGAAGGATGATGATGACAGCAATAGTGAATCTGGTGATTCGGATGCGGACGAACAGATGGGGGAGACTGAAAAGGGCGCAGAACAACAAAATTCAGAGACATTTGGCGATGATAAAGAAGAAGGTGACGGCGAAGAACAAGAAGAAGGTATGCATTTATTTTATTTTTATATGTGTAATCAAATTCTTCGATTGTATAAAATAAATTCAAGCAGTATATTGTGTAATAGATACATAAGTAAACAGGACAAACATAAAATTTATAATTACTGAGTGATATACGAGTATTAACATTTTTTATTTACTAAACCGTTGTCTTTTAGGTCCCGAACAAAAAGAGGAGAAGGGAGAAAAAGGCGAGAAAGAGGGAGAAGAACAACTGGGTGCTAAGGAAGGTAAAACTGCCAATGACGAAGAAGACCAAAAAGAAGGAAAAGAAGAAAAGGAGAAAAATAAAAAAGAAATTAATGAGATGGAAGAACCTGAGTATGACGATGAACAAATCGATCCACATCACGGCCAACAACAAGAACTACCAGAACCCGAACCGATGGATTTACCGGAAGATATGCAACTGGACGAGGGAGAAGCCAACGATGAAGGAAATGATGACAAGCAAGACGAAAATCCATTTGATATAGACACTATGAAGGCAGATGATAAACCTGATGACAAAAACGATGAAGCAGCAGATGAAAATAAAGACGATGAGTCTAAAAGAGACGATGAGAAAGATTTTAGTAGTGATGATGAAGATGTTGAAAGAGGAGATAAAAACGACGGAGAAGAAGGAGCAGATGGCGAAGACGATGAAAATAAAGATGACGATGCTGTAAAAGAAACAGAAAAAGCTGATAAAGAAGATGATGCAAATAGCGAAAATGGGGATGAATATGCGTTAGATCAGACACAAAGTCATCAAGAAAATGTAGAAGCTATGGAAATAGACGATGCAGATGCAGCTGATAAGGTATGTTGTACACAATTTGTATTTACTAGATTACTTTATTACTTAATTTATATAATACGCGATCAGTAACAATCAGTAAGCGTATTACATAGAAAAAATTAGTCAAGATATTATTTTTACATTATTGGATCTTAAGAACTTTTGCTTCGTTAGTTGTGCGCGGGCCCTCAGTCTGGCTGAGGTTAGTGTAGCCAAAACTGTCATAGATATAGAACAATTGAGGAAGGATTCAGATTTAGTATTGAAAATTATTTGGGCAAACTTATGAAGCTACTTACTTCTCGTCTCGAGAAAACTAAAAAAACTCAATTAAAGTTAAATATAACAATAGCTAGAGCAATTTTAATGACGGGTTAATCATATGTCTAAAAAACGCATCTATATAATATTTTCGGTAATAAAACTTATTTTAATCCATAAACTTCTAAAAGGTAATAGTTATTTATTGGTTTATTTACTTGTTTGCTCATAGATTCTGTGTGTGAGTTTTATGAATCTGTAACGTAACTTGCCTGGATGGAAATTGTGGGATGACAATAGAACGATCAAATCCAGATAAAAGTTAGTTCACTTTACAAACCAGTGCTCAAATGTTTTGAGGGACACAACGGTGAGCTTTGGGACGTGGCTCAATAGATTCGGAATAGGGGTATATTTAACAAATTTGAATTGAGATTTACCAATGAAAATGAGAGACTTTGGTACTAAAGGAAGGGGCAAAAATAAAGGGTGGTACCTAGTCATTAGTCGAAGGGCAAGGAAAACTTAATAGGACCTACGAGAAGATTGGTTTAAGAAAGATTAAAAAAATAGGCTAAACTCCCAAAAAAACAATATGCATACATAGTCAAAAAAAAAACACTTACCGTATAAGATCTCTCTATATTTCATATATCAGATTTACTTTCTAATTAGTTACCTGAAGAAAGGAAGACTATAAGAGTGCAATAAACAAATAATGGCTACAAATTAATAATTTTTATTACTCAAAAGTTCAGGCAGATAAACGTATTATGGAATATGAACAGATCAGTCAAGTAAGCATAAATAAAATAAAACAAACAACAAAAAGACAAAAATACAAATTTAGATAAATCAGGTATTCAGTAAGTTGTTCTAAAATTAGGTGAAATACCTTTATCACCGGGTAAAACTGCAAAATGAATTCAAATAGTAAAATATAGCAAAAATACTTAGGCATTACTTCAGTTATAGCCTACTATTACAATATTATAGGCATTATATCTTACTAAGCTTAAAAAAATTTACATATTAATTAGCTGACCAAAAGGGCACAACAATTCGCTTTGATCACCAGAGCACTGACATGTTAACTTTTAGGCTGTACTTACAAACAAAGATTATTACGGGCTACCAGTAAAATTAATAGTGCATACCTTATATGTAGAAAAAGTTTGGGCTGCACTGCACTAGATATGTAGGCAATAAAAGTTAACATGTGTATTTCTTCATTTGACCAGAAAGAGCACATTTAACGATGTTATCTCCAACATTAGGACAAGTTTTAAAATTAATATCAAGTTACATAATATTGCTGTAGATTTTACTGACTAATTTTCAAATGAATTAAAACTTATCACTTTATTTTATCTTTATTTTACTGTGGTACTTACATATTCATAGTTCAGCACTACATTATTGATTTCCCATTTTTTTACGAGCTACGTACCCAATTACGACAAAACAAACTAAAAACCGGACAAACCTAAGTTTGACTCCATGTACTCCATCGTACACTAACGGCTGTTAAAATCGAAGTCCTCTCTGATGACAATATTCGGATCTTCACCTTAAAAGTGACCGTTTCTCACGGCCACTTTCCCAAGAAGTAAAATGATCATCAAATATCGATTCTCTTGCCAGCATAAGTGGAAAAATTCGTTTATTTCCTGCGTATTGTCTAGAGATCAAACGGAAGAGCAATTTGTTTATTATAAACAGACCCCAAAATGATACAGGAGGTTTTTATGATACAGGGGGTGATATGCTACAAATGTACAAATCTTATAGTGATCGTTGTATATAATTCCCTCTTGTTTTAAAAGAGGGCAGCTATTAATTCATATCATAATAAAAGGCAATTTAGTCGTAATAAAAATTTATAATATTCCAGGCGCAAGCCAACAAATCCGAAAACCAACAATCAAACCAACCAATCGACGAGCTTCAACAAGAAGATCGGCCGGATAAAGAAGGCGTCGGTCAATCGCAGATGGAAGAAACCAGTTCTGGTCACACAGCACAAACCAGCGCCCCACAAGAAATAAAAACGGCCAAAGATAATCGAGATAAGGAGGAACAGAAGAGAAAACAGAAACCTGGGGAGAGTGACTCCAAACGAAGTTTGGGAGACGTGGACCAACCTGTTCGGAAGAAATTGAAAACCGTGGAAGCGAAAAATGATAGTAAACAGGACAAGGAGGATAAAGGGGACGAAGATGCCGATATGTATCAACATATTCAGGATGCTGAGAAGACGGAAACTCAGGTAATTGTTTGTTAATGTAATTTTAATTACAGTTTAAGTGTGTATAGGTTTTCTTTGCTGCTGTAGAGTCTTCGTGTAATAAAAGTCTTTTTCCACACAAAACTTCTTTTATATGTTACAAGGAACCAAGTCTGGCGAATATGTTAAAGGAAATCGCACTAATTTACTCATTTTTGTGACGATTTTTAAGGTTTGTGAGAGAGTGAACTATAATAATGACAAGTGATTCTCAATATTGTGATCATAATAATATTTTTTCTGTCACAGTAATAATCTGTTTTGTTTTTCTTTAACGACCAGAATCCCTGTTTTATTAAAAACACAGTTAATACTAATATTTTACTGGAAAATTTGTGTACCCTAAATCACTTAAAAGTCGGTATACCAGGTTTACACTATTCCTTAGCACGATTCCTTCTTGTTTTAATTTAAGATTATGATTGTAGCCCAATTCTCATCCATACTGATGAAAAAATCATAAAATCCTTTTATTTTTACTAGAATTATCCTATCGTTGCTGAAAAAGTCCTTTAGATCAATGTTAACGAATGCGGTTCTCATTTGCACGCAACTTTCTGAAACCTAAAATTTTATCCAATTTTTTTTATACAGCCTAATGAGATTTCCAGTATTTCTTCTGCTTACTCTCTTTCAGTTAGTTAACGATCACGGAAAACGATATCATGTAATTTTGGTTATGATTGCTCAAGTTGATACACTCTTTATTCACTTGGATCGTCTGTAACACTTGTTATAACTTACAGTACGTATAAATTCAGAAGCCTGTCATGTTTTTTTTTTGAAGTTATACTTCTATACGCGCGTTTGACGTTGGAAGTTTGTACGGGAGTGAATCGGCAAAATCATTACATATGTAAGATATAGGTAAGAGAGAGACAGAAGATATATTTTCTCTCTCTTTCCCTCTCGAGAATAAAAATGTTCCTTTTTCCATTCTTTTCAGATTTGTCTTGAGCCTCGTTAGGCATGTTAAATTATAAATTAAAACTTGTAAATATCTCAAGGAATTTCAAATTTGTACTTATATACACAACAAACAACAATTAAATTGTGTATCTGTCAATGTCAGACAAATTGACAGTTGTATCACGAAAAAATACTTTTATTTTATTATTATTATTATGGTAAATTAACCATATGCGTAAGTAAGCTATGTATATTGACATGTTTAAATCCTTATGAATATTGCATTTTAATTTGTATTGAATTATTATATTGAATTATGGTTTGTGATAAACTAATAATGATAAACTAATAGATATTTTAAGGTCATGTAATATCGACGATAAAGACTTAAGGATCATTTCAAACCTCTACCAAGAACAAAAGGCTAAAATCAGAATAAAAAGCGAAACATCTGGAAAAATCAATATCGAGAAGGGAGTAAGACAGGGATGTGTCCTATCACCTTTGCTGTTCAATGTTTACTCTGAGAAGATATTTCAGAAAGCTTTGGAAGGCACCCCGGATGGTATAATTAGTAACCACAGCCTGTAGAGAATTTGGAATGAAATTGAATACAAAAAAGAGAAAAACGATGGTCATCAGCAAGCACCAAAACAGAAGGGTGAAGGTCAATGTCGATGGAACAGATCTGGAAAGAGTAACAAGAACAACGTACCTTGGAAGTAATCTTGATGAAACTTGGGACCACTCACTAGAGATAAGAATACGCCTGGAAAAGGCACGTACAATGTTTTACAAAATGCAAAAAGTTCTATGCAATTGCCAGCTGGGCATCTCATTGAGAACTAGAATACTTAAGTGCTATGTTTTCTCCACCTTGCTCTATGGTGTTGAAGCCTGGACAATGACAGAAGCAACACAAAAAAGAACGCGTGTATAGAAGTATAACTTCTACCGACAATCCCACCGGACTGCCACAACCGTTTTTTATTTAAAACGAAGCAAATAGCTACAGCTCCGCCTATTTTTAACGAGAAACCTATTAGTCAATGTTAAAGAGGGGTACCTATTAAAAACTGTATATTGAAAATTCAAGATTTTTAAGATTTTCTCAACTCAACTACTTTAAAATTGATAATTTTTAAAAACAAATATATCTGTTATATTATGTATCTATGTTATTAGTACATTTATATAAAATTTAGTTCAACTTTTTTTTTGCTAAAAACTGTCTATAAAAAAATATTAAAATATACTATATTTACAGGTTCTCGATGTTGCTACACAAGAACAAGCAGAAAATCAGAAAAAAGAAACACACCACGAAGAGGAAAAAGATGAAGAACCTACAGAATCCTCAAAAGATCTTCCAGAAGAAGAAGAGACTGATGTAATAGACGTAGACACCGCAGAGTCGGAAGTAGCAGAGAAATTAGGCGAAACAAAGGACCAAAAGACTAAAAAGCAGCAACATCCTCAGGGTGATGTTCTAGAGGAAGTACAAGAAATAGAAATAGAAGGGGAGCTAGTCCAAACATCAACTGTATCTCGTAGTACTGAGTCTACACATCATACCCAGTATTCCACAATTGCAGAAACTACAGCTTCTAGACTCTCAGTAGAAGAAATCAATAGTCTTCGGCTTGATGTTGAAAGACAATTGTCGGGTTGGAACGAACCTCCCTCTACCGTAGAAGCAGACCAAGCTTGGCAGAAAATATCTTCGGTTACTTCGTCGTTGGCTCAAGATTTATCAGAGCAGCTGAGACTCGTGTTGGAACCTACGCAAGCAAGCAGATTACGTGGAGATTTTAGAACTGGTAGAAGAATTAACATGAGAAAAGTGATACCGTATATTGCATCACAATTTAGGAAAGACAAAATATGGCTTAGGCGTACTAAGCCGTCCAAAAGAGAATATCAAATAGTATTAGCCATAGACGACTCTTCTAGTATGGCTGACAACCATTCCAAAGAATTAGCGTTTGAAAGTGTAGCACTTATATCCAAAGCACTATCTCTTTTAGAAAGTGGACAATTGTCGGTTCTGAGCTTTGGCGAAAACGTGGAAGTCATCCATAAATTGGCGGACCAATTTACGGATAAGAGTGGCGTCAAACTATTACAAAAATTCAAGTTTGATCAAAACAAAACTTGTGTAGCTAAGTTAGTGGATTTTTCGACGGAAATGTTTAACCAATCCCAGCTACAGTCCACCGCACTAAATGCCAAATTACTAGTGATTGTAAGCGACGGAAGGGGCGTATTTTCGGAAGGTGAAACTTTTGTTAAACAAGCTGTACGCAGGGGGAAACTTTCCAATATATTTATGGTATTTGTAATTATAGATAATCCAGAAAATAAGAACTCTGTGCTAGATATAAGAATGCCTGTATTTAAAGACGGAAAACTTCATGAAATTCATAACTATATGGACGTATTTCCATTTTCGTTTTATATTATTTTAAGAGACATTAATTCTTTGCCTAGTGTTTTAAGCGACGCCTTGCGACAATGGTTTGAAATCGTGTCAAATTTAGATAAGTAATCATGATTTTTGTTAATTTATTAATAAAGCATGTCTTTAATAAATAGTAGTTATCATTTACTCCTTAAGAAATCACAAACAAACAAAATCAGTAATAGTTCAAATCTGGAATTTGCAAAAAGTAGTCGTATAGACCGGTAGTTCTGCAGCAACGAGCATCCTCGTCACAGAGGACACGAAGATCATTGGAAAATGACGTTGAAAGGCAAGGTCAAATAGACAGAGATTCAGTTCTTCGGACTCCAATGCCAGGAAAGTCCAGAGGAAGCCGCCAATAGAATGACGAGTGACTTGGTGCGTCTTCGTCGACATCGAGATCTGGACACTGAGGAAGAACGAGACGCAACTTTTACACAGGAAGCTGTACTTCGCCAAAGTGTGCAAACTCTTGAGGAAGCCGCCAGTAGAAGGTACACGTCTCCATCGAGCTCAGGAGACCGATGATGATCGTCGAGCTAGATTGGCTCGAGAGGCACAGATACGAGAAGAGCGATCGTAACGAGAGATATCTGGGGTCGTATTTTTAATGAAAAATGGAAAATACGAATCTGAATGTGTATTTTTGAATGTCCGTCGAAATGTTATACGTATACGAACAGAATTTTTGCACCGGCAACACTGCAAATTGGAACAACTAAAACTTCAAATAATAAAAAAAGAAGAATAATTGACAGATTTACTTTTTCTTCTTCTTCAGGTGTCATCTCCGCTACGGAGGTTGGCAATCATCATGACTATTTTAATTTTTGAGTCAGTAGCTCTAAAGAGTTGTTTGTGTGGATGCATCCACACCATTCTCCCAGGTTCTTAAGCCATGAAATTCGTCTTCTTCCGATGCTTCTTCTACCATATATCTTTCCTTGCATTATGAGTCGCAGGGTGTCATACTTCTCGCCCCGCATCATATGTCTGAGATATTGTATCTTCCTTTAATTGTAAGTTCAACTGTATACAAAACATTTTGTTAGCGTACTTTAAGAGCTAATGTTAAATCTTTGTCGCATAGAACCTTTTTCATTTTCATAAAATTAGAACGTGCTTTTTTTATTCTGACTTTGATTTCTGCAGTGTAGTCATTATTTTCTGTGTTCCTAGGTTATTTATTTATTTATCGTATGGCAATTACAACATATTTAGAACAAAATTACAAACACTAGTAATATAGGTATATGACAAACTTTAAATAATTACAAACAAACATCAAGTGTATTAACATAATCAATTGACTCTGAAGTTGCAAACAGGAAGTCTTCAGGGCTACCGTTATAAGATCTTGAGGGACACTCTTCAATAATTTGGTCGATCGTTTGGTCCTTCCCACAGTCACATTGAGGAGACGGATTCTTTCCCCATTTATGTAGCATGTATGCACATCTGCCATGTCTGGTTCGGATCCTGTTTAGAGTGGACCATGTTTTACGTGGAAGATCAAAACCTGGTGGCTTGTGGGTAATACAGGGCATGTTATTTTGCCATGCATTCCATTCTAGGTAAGTGTACTTTTATACTCTTTAGATCTGCTGGCCCCTTTACTATCAAGATTTCGTTAGTATTATGGTTGTTTTTACAAAGTTTCATAAACTTCGACTTTTTGATATTGAGAGAGCGTCCGTACTCTCTACTACACATTACTATTTTACTTATGAGTCTTTCCAGGTCTTGTAAACTATCGGCTGTTATTACTGTATCATCTGCATATCTGATGTTGTTAACTAAGACTCCATTTACTCTTATGCCGACTGTTTTATCTTCCAGAGTTTCTAGAATTACCTCTTCAGAATAAGCGTTAAATAATAAAGGTAATAGTATACAGCCTTGCCTGACTCCTCACCTTATTTCCATTTCTTCATATATCTCTTGTTCAATTCGTACTATTGCTCGCTGATTGTATTAAAGGTTTGTTAATAGCCTTAAATCTCTTTCATCTAGGTTCTTCTTTTTTAGAATTTCCAAGAGACTCCAAAGCTAATAGAAGAATATAACAAATGGGGTCTCGAAGTCAACATTAAGAAAACTGAAGCCATGTGTATTGGAGGGACAAAACAATCCATTATATTAGACGATGGGGTAGAAATTAGAAACTGTGATAAATACAAGTACTTGGGTATGAAGATAACTCAAGATGGAACACTCTTGAGTTATCTTCATACCCAAGTACTATAGTTCTATAAAAGACAGAAACATACAGGGTAGAAAAGCCATATCCATGATGAACGGCATTCTGTGGGACCAAACAATATCTAAAGCGAACAAACAACTCATATACAACACCATACTTAAAAGTGTAATCACATATGAAGTTTGGCCAATGAAACAAAGAACAGAGAAACTGTTACCAGCAACAGAAATGGACTTCTGGAGAAGAGCAGCAGGCAAATCAAGAAGAGATCGGATACCAAATGAGAGAATACGGGAAATGATGGGAGTCAAGCATACAATAGTTGATGACATAAAAACAAAACAGTTAATATGGTATGGCCGTGTACAGAGAATGCCAGACGACAGGATTCCAAAACAGATTTTGACGTGGACACCACAAGAGAGAAGGAAAAGAGGAAGACCGAGAAGAAGCTTTAGAGAGGGAATTGAAAAAGAACTAAAGGAAAGAGAAATCCCTTCAGACCTATGGTTGGATAGAGAAGAATGGCAGTTAGGAGTCGGAAGGCGTCGGAGAACGCTGTAAACCGATAGTAGTAGTAGTAGTAGTAGTAGAATTTCCAAGAGTCGGTCATGTTTTACTTTATCAAACGCCTTATTCTAGTCTATTAAACAGACGTAAAGAATACAGTTAATATCCAAACATCTCTGTGTCAGCACGTTGAAGGAGAATAATGCCTCTCTGGTACCCATACCATTGCGGAACCCATATTGTTTGTCACTAATAGCCAGCTCCAGTTTAGAGTGAATTCTAGCGTGAATTTTCAGGGTATGTGACATTAAGCTTATGGTTCGATAATCACTTTACTCTTTGGCATTCACTTTCTTTGGCAAATACACAAATGCTGATGTCAACATTTCTCTAGGAATGATTCCCGTAGTATAGATAGCGTTGAACAGTTCTACTATTATCGGTCCCTATCACGATTCGAATATTAACCAATACCGAATGAGAACAAATGCCGAGGTCAAACAAATGTATAGTGCTAGCGACGTAGTCCAAGAGATTAAATCCCAACGTCTAAGATGGGCTGGCCATGTTCATAGGCTCCCTAATAACCGCCTTACCAAGTTAATCTGGGAAGAAGTCCCTTAGGACGTCCACGAATGCGATGGAGAGATAATATATGGTCAGATTTGAGAACAATGGGGCTACCCACTGACTTAAACATCATGGACGACCGTTCGAGATGGAAGCAGGTTGTGCAGTCAGCTAAGACCCACCCCGGGTTGTAGTGCTACCAGAAGAAGAAGAAGTTCTACTATTATGTCCAGATTTTTCTAGTTGACCAACTTTAATAGCCCGCTTGCTAGTTCATCTGGACCAGCAGATTTATTGGTTTTCATTGAGTTTAATGCCTGACTAACCTGTGATTTGGTTATCTCTGGGCCTACATCTCCCGTTTGGCTATTCACAGATGTACTAGCTTGTGTATTCATGATCTGACATCCAAGCAATGTGTTCAGCCCATCTAGGCCTCTGCACTTTAAAGAATTTCACAATATCTGGATCGATGTATAACTGATATATTTCAAACTTGTATCTTCGACGCCATAGCCCATTTTCATTTACGGCTCCAAAAATCTTTCGAGGATTTTTTCTCTCAAAAATACCAAGAGATCTCTCATCATTTTGAGATACGTTTCAGCCCCATATATTAAAACCGGTCTTATTAAGGTCTTGTATATATAAAGCCTTTTTAAATGATTCTGGAGACTGTGAACAGTTCTGTTTGCGAGTGCTATGCGTCTTTTTATTTCGTCGCTTGTCGTGTTTGTTGCATTTACTAACGATCCAATGTATGTAAATTCTTTGACTTGCTCAAAGGTATGGTTGTTAATTTTCATAATTTTTTCATAATTTTCATAGTGATGCTATTCAACTAATTGATTCATATCTATCAAATCGTGATCAATCACTTCAACCAGTGTGATTCTCAAAAACAATCTTTGTTGTTTGGTTTCCCTCAAGGCTCGGTTTTGGGTCCAGTATTATTTGTTATCTATATTAATAATCTAGTGTACTCTCAAAATGAAACAGTCAACACTGTTTTATTTGCTGATGACACTACTTCCTATGCAAGCTATCACCTTCTGAATTCGACACCCTTGATTACCAAACATCTGAAAAAAACTTATTCAATTGGTTTTTAACTAACTGTCTCTCTTTGAACAACTCTAAATCACAAAGTGTTAATTTTACTCTAAGAAATAACACTTGTGTCGAAAACGTTGCTCTACTACAATGTGTAACCGGAGCGAAGTTTCTGGGGATATATTTGGATGCAGAATTAACCTGGGAACAACATATTGTTAATCTATCGAAAACGCTTTCCCGACAACTTTTTCTCTTCAGGAACCTTGTACAAGTGACTTCCAGGGAAACTTTTTTTAACAGCTTATCATAGTAATTTTCATTCTCATCTGACATATGCTATTCTCTCCTGGGGTCACTCTTGTCATATCGATAAAGTGTTTGCACAACAAAGAAAGTGTGTTCGTATTATCTCTGGGCTCTCTTATAGAGCAGACTGTAGAAACTCCGTTAGATTACCACAATTATCCCACCAGATTTAACAATAATCTTATACCAGAATTTAGCCGTCTTGAGAGATCCAGAAATGGTTAAAGGTATTTAGCCATACAATTCTACAACTTAGTGCCAGCTAGAATGAAAGCTCTTAATTTTCATCAGTTTAAGGTAAAAATTAAGAGTTACCTTATAGTGAATGTTTTTTTTTACATATGAGGAGTATTTTACTTCCAATTTTAATTTGTTGTAATTGTTAACAGTATAATTTAAAACAATGTATATATGTTTTGTGTTATGTGTGCATATTAACTATATTGACATTTACTTTATTTTATTTGACTTGTAAAAAATAC